AAATCGCTGCGACTAACATTAATAAATGACTTACTAATTGCAAATGCCAATCAACTGGCCACACACTCAGCTCTATTTGGGCTAAGAGCTGCAACTAGGACAACGTAGAGCTAATGAAGATTAAACTGTTGGCTAAGGGAGCTGAAGAGCACGCTGAGATTTAGCGAGAATTATTACAGCGGCAGGTATACAAATATAGATATGTATATGAATATTTATATATTTATATGTATTTAGTTATGTATAGTTGGTAGAGAGCGTAAGGAATTGGGAGGAGTAGAACATGAAAGGCGCTATGCAGCTTCCCAGGGCCTAATTAGACGCTGCATGAGTAAATTGTTTACCTGGAGGCCAAGGTCAACAGCAACAGCAACAGCAACAACAACAACAACAACAATGAGCCGCGAACGGATTTAACTGGAATTGTTTTTCGAGGAGGAAGCAAAAAATTTGTTGTAGTTGTTCTACAATTCATATTTATATTTGCTTGAATGTGAATACACATAAATGTGAGTGTATGTGTGCTAGTGTGCGTGTTTTTGTGTGTATTTGTGCAACACACAATTTCCCACAAGGAAATGAAAAAGATATTACTCAAAACCCGAGTTGCCAGTTAAGGTTCAAAGCAAACAAAAATGCGCAAAATGTGCTAAGAGAGCGCCAGAGCGAGCGAGAGAGAGAGAGAGTGAGAGAGAGACAGCGATAAATAGAGAGCGAGATAAACAGAAAAACAGGTCCCTGGTTTGTGAACCCTGGACTCATGGCCCTGGTCTCTGGTCTCTGGTCTCTGGTCTCTGGTCCCTTTGCCGAATTCCGAGACGCGTCTACCGTCTACTTCTTCTGTCTGCATACTGCAATTTTTTTTTTGTTTTTGTACTTTTTTTTTTTTGTGCGTCCTTTTTGGTGTGTATGCCAATGTGTATGAGTGTGTATGTGAATGTATATGCGAGTTGTTTGTCGTGTTGTGGTTGTTGTTGTTGCATGCATTTTGGGCTGCGCTTGCACAAGGAGAAAAGATACATTCCTGAGATACTCAAGATAACTACGCACATATACATATGTACATATGTATAGTGTATATGCTACATATACATACATACAAAAACATATATTGTATACTGTCTGTATGTATGCATTATATGCATCTGTAACACGAATTGTCTGAATAGTCTGGATTGTCAATGCCAGCCAAGGCGTTCGCTCCTTGTGGTCGCCTTTGCGCTTAGTGCAATTAGTGGGAACTCCAAGTGCCTGCACAGTGGGTCAAATCGCAT